AGCTTGAACAGATTCCCAGTTACAATGACAATTACGTCAGTATGAACATACACACCCATCAATTTAACCTCGTATCTCCTGTTAAATTGAATCAACCTTCTGAAAGTGCCAACACCTCAGAGAGGTCAAGATGATGCCTATCATGCCAGCAATTTAACTTCTCATTTTTGTAACAAGGAACCTCATTAATCTGATGTCATAATGATTAAAAAAAAAAATCACTTGTCATCACACTGTCTCCATATATCCAAAATAAAGGCAAATAAATTACTGTTCTTCTGGAAAAAGATATGAAAAATGAAAAGAGCAAATGTTAAAAGAAAAGAGGTCATCTTCAATAAGCATGAAATTAAGCAGCACCCAAAATTCCTGATAAGTTTCAGGCACTGTAGAAAATTTCTGCATCACAGCACTGCACAGCTATTTGGGTATGCTTAAAGCCCTCCATGCTTCAAGAAAATAAAATCATTTTTGCTGTGCTCATTCTAATACAGACTTTGGTATAAACCCCCAAACTCTTGTGTCTTCTAACTATGATTTTCTGACAAAAAATTGCCTCAATAATTTTATCATCTGCCCTTGAGCCTGTTTGTTTTAAGTCTCAACAACCTGGGGCACAATTAACCAGCTTCAGCAAGTCATCCAAATGATTTTTTTTTTTTCAGTTCCTTCCAACCTTTTGGATGTCAACAGAACAGGACAGAAGAGAAGCAGGCAAGAACCAAAAGAGACAGTATAGCTGAATGGCTACTGCGTGAATTCAGGACTTCCCTGTTCTGTTTGGGCCGTTAACTGGCTGATGAGCACGTGCACAGCTCCAAACCAGGCACAGCCTGTGTTGTCTCTTGCCCTACCATCCATCATGGCACACACACAAAGTTTGCCTTCATAAAGCAAAACTCTCAGTGGTCAAAACCATTTTATAAGCAAAGCTTACTTTTTCCAGTAAGACAATGCAAAACTGGGATCTAACTGGTTCCAGCCATCTCCAAGAGACAATCCTCCACTTGCACGAGCAATCCAGATACTGGGTCAAAGGCTGCAGGTTAAGTATCTGATAACAGTAGAGTGGTACATTCTGTACCTATTATGAAGATTATCATTACTTTATTCTAAACACAGCCTGTCTTTCAGAGAACAGTCAGGACTTCAAAGACTGTGCTACGCAAGCCAAGAATTTGCAGAACATTTCAGATTTCAAGCTCCTAAACACCCAATTAAACACAAGCAATGTTGGACCTTCATTTGAACAAATAATTTTGCTTCCATGATGCCTTCCAGTACTTCGGACTTTGCAGAAGGAGAAATTTCAAGTTACTTATAGCACATGATACAATGTCACACAGTTTTTTGCAAAGGGGAGGGGAAGAATTATTTTGAAATTAAACAGTTACTAAGAAAGGCCCCAAATTAACATTCTAATGAGACATTTTTAACAAAAGTTATAGAAAACACACATCTGCAGTTATACCTTAAAGCTCTTAAAATGTAACCTCTTAATATTTGTAAACTACCCTTATATTGTTTCAAAGATGCAGTAACCTCGGGCAAGACAGGAAGCCAGATAAAAAGAATTAGCAAGAGGAAAAATCCTCTCCCCGCAATGGAAAATTTTCATCTCTTCAAGCAAGGCAGAGATGCTCAGCCGGACCTGCGTTGCCTGGAGACCAACCGCAGTTTCTTGCCAACAGGGACGAGCTCAGCATCAGCAAATTCAACAGCTGATAAGTGGATGAGCTGAATGAGAGGCGGCAAGTTTTTTCCACACATCAGTGTAAAAACCTGACAGCTTTCAGATAATGGTTCTAGCCCATGCTCACTAGAAAAACAAGAATTATTGTGAACGTTAAATGTCAGCTTAAGAAAGCTTCAAGCTCCGTCGTACTTGGCTCTTATCCCTACATGCAGTAAAGAGCACATCCAAGTTAAAATTTTTAGTTGCACCTCGATTTCTGCCCTCTCCATCTTTTGATGCAGTATCAAAACTTTTGGAATATGTTCTGCCCATTCAACGAGTTCTCAGTCTAAGCACTGGTGCAGAAATATTAAGAAAACCAGTGAACTACATCAAAAAGGAAGAAGCTACAGCTTAGCTCTAAAAGCCACATCAAATCTTGTTTCACTTCAAAACCCAGCCTTTCTCACCTAAAGTGCAGCTCCCTGGGCAGGCCTGCATCAGATGTATTACAGAGGAGACACTTGTTTTGCCTATTCTGGATCTGGACCTCAGATCCCAGCCTCAGGCAGGCATGGACAAGGCTGCAGGAGCAGCACTCTTGACCTCTCAAAGAAACACCTCAGCTGCCTCCCAATCTCCAAGCCATCAGATAAGAATTGTTGGAAAGAACTGATATTTAATACCAGTTACTCCAGAATTTCCCCAGATCTTATCTAATTCAACTCACTGAACATATTCAGGCAGTAAAAAATTAAGGGATTTAAAAGAATGACTTCCATTTAATTTATCCCGTCTGACAAATTCCATGAGTAAAGTAGGTCTTCCACCACCGACCTGACAGCACACACTTCCCTGCCTCCACCTATGCCTAAAACAAAAGGGCAGACATTTGTGTGTCACCACTGCTGACAGACTCAGACACCCTCAGTGCCTCGAGGTTTGCACCCTTCCCCTACCCTTCAAAAGAAAAAAACATCTCCAAAATAGCCTCACACTCCCCAGCTGACCGGAGAACAACTAAAGTACTACCATAGCAGTGACCTGGATGGAAGCCCATCCACTGACAGGCAGCAAAGAGGTTCTTTCTTTAACATCTTTTCTCATCCTGGTTTTTCCCAACCTCATGCCTAACAGATCCAAAGTCCTCTTTGCAAGCAACTGGTAGGGAAAGAATTTTTGAGAGCACAAAGCCCAGCATTCATATGACTGACCACCATCCAGTTTTCCAGCTGCTTCCCAAATTACCACACCACATGGTTATGACAGCTCTGATCCACCTTTCCTCAAGAAGAAACAGCAACAGCTTATATTGCTTCTGTGACCAAAGTACCACAGATAAGCTAACAGACCGTTACTTCAGAAAGGTGTAAATTTCAAAGACGGCAAAGGCTGAAAAACAGCTTTTCAATTAAACAAATACAAATTTATGAAAAGATACACGGACAAGTTTAAGGTTTGAAATTTTTCACAAACACATACACGAGTGGCTGCAATCCCTCCCATGGCCCTTAACCAGGAGACGCTTCTGAGCACTTAAAATTATTGTTTTTTGAAGAAACTTTCCTGAATTCTGGCACTTAAATTATTACACTCTTCCTCATTCAGTAATATACTTTAATTAAAAAAAAAAAACCCAAACTATCTTGAAGATGCCAATCAGCCAAATGTAAATAAATCAATCAGCCTCTTTTTAAAACACACACGTTTATGTGTGGACACATGTGTACATAAATCCAGTTTCCATTCCTTAATGCTATTATTAAGTCCTGAAAAAACACAAGTTAATTTCAACTTAAAGAAATTTCAAAACTAGTTTTTATCTTATATATGTTTTTATTATTTTCTAAGCAAAATTAAGAGCAAAGATGCCAATTCCTGGCCAAAATAACCCTGATTTTGTAATTCTCAAGTGTCAAATTTGAACTGCTCTACTCTCACTTCAGTGTTACACGTTGAGCAATGACCAATAATACATCATTTGAGTGAAAAGTTAAAGCAAACATTAATATTCTAGAACTATATATTAAAGCAAAATTCTAATAATAATGTTTGACACACAACTGTCCCTTTAGATGTTCATGAGTCTAAAAAAGCACATGGGCACTGGATGAATTTCTAAAACACCTGAGTATATGGGACAACTAAGGCACTGTATCAAAAGACAAAAAAGAAAAAATACAGCCTTGAAGTGGAGGGTGATTAAATTCCAGCACATATCAAGAAAGATATCAGTGTTAAACACGCATACTTTTCACAGTGGAATTAAGGCCAAGGACATATCAGGGTGTAACTACCAAGTTGTTATTCCATCAACAACGATAACATTTATTTTCTTACGCTGGATGCCTATTTCCAAAGCCTCAACCGTAAGTTTTTGTTTTAACGCCTGCACGTCCCAAGCCACGTTAACAAGGCATTATAAAACCGTGATGCTCGCACCAGTTCCTAACAAGGCATCACCCACCACTCCCATTTTACACGGGAAAAAAGGGTATCCGTGAGCAGCACGTCCACTTATGCAACACATCCCGCAGCACCCGTTTATCATTGTGAACTATTAGCGAGAGTACAACACAGCGGTCAGAGCCGCAGCACACCCATCACCCGGGCAGAACGGGCAGACAACGTCCTGTGATTCAAGGAACCGCCGAGCAAGGGGTGACCACCAGCCCCGGGGCGGGCAAATACCAGTGATGCGAGGCAGATACAAGGCAGACAGAAGCGATACAGGCGCGGCCGCCCCGCGCCGGGCCCGGCCCAGCCCCAGCCCCAGCCCCGCGACCCCCGCGGGGGGCGCAGGAAGCGCCGGGGACGGGGATGCTCTGCCAGCGCTGCCACCGCTATCCCCCCACCGCCGACCCGCATCCCCGGGGTGCCGCCAGGACAGAGCCCCTCCTTTCCTCCCCACAGAGCCCGGCAATGCCCCGAGGGCGCCGCCGACCATCCCCGCCGGGCAGCCGCCCTCCCCCGCCTCCGCCGGGCCGGGCACAGACCTGCGAGCGGGCGGGGCTGCGTCCTGCACAGGCCGCCCCCTCACAACTGCTCCCGGGGGAAGGAGAGGGAGAGGCAGCACCAACGTGCGGGGGAACGCGGGGAGCGGGGCGCGCCCGTTACCTGGAGCGGGGCCGGCGCCGGCGGCGGCCTCAGCGCTTTTGTTCCTCAGACGTCAAGATGGCGGCGCGGCGCGTGGCCGGCCCTCCCTGCTCCGGCGGGCCCCGCCCTCCTGCGCGCCTCCCCATTGGCTGGGCCCGCGGCGCCGCGCGCTGATTGGGTGGCCGCCAGCGCCGCTGTTGCCAGGGGAGCCGGGGCAGGGGAACGGGGCCGGGGAACGGGGCCGGGATGCGGAGGCTGATCAGTTCCGCCCGGCCCGGCCCTTCCACGGGAAACGCGGGGAAACGCCGGCTAGAGAGCGGGGCCGTGGAGAGAAGAGGGACCACGGGAAGAAGCGGCCCCTCCGTGTCGGCCCTTCCGCCCGTGCGGGCCCGCCGGGCACCCTCTCTTGTAACCAAGCTTGGAGCCACCCCCCAGCACCCACAGGCAGGAGCCAGCCCCGTACACCTCCCTGACCTCTGGGTTATTACATCTCCCAACCTGTGGGTTATTACGGCTCCCTGACCTGTGGGTTACACCTCCTCAGGCCGCAGCAGCCATGGACAAAGCTCTCAGTCACCTCCCCTCAGTGCCTGCTTGGAAACCATTTCTCTGTTGGCTTGTGACACATTCGGACGTGACCAGGGCACTTCCATCACTCGCCCCGTTGAGGAGGCAGAGGAAGAACATCTGAGCGTCCCTTGAAGCTCAGAGGGCTGTGTGACTGAGGTCACTGTTCATCCCGTGCTTCTGTTTCTATTCCACCAAAACTCTCACTTAGGCAAATGCAGCCCAAAGTCCTGGAAGCTCCCCCTACTTGGCTTTACCCTGGATGACTTCTCCGAGCCAGTGTCTGATGTCTGAAATGCAATCGCAGTTATGAAGGTTTGCATACAAGGCCATGAACTGCGGGTAACAACGGAGCCACCAGCATTGTAAGAAAAAAAAGACGGAATAATGAGATTATCGCAGTTTAAATTACTAAGCAACAGTTTCTCTGACAATGAACTTAGTAACGCTCTGCCATCTATTTAATCACGCTAATGAGACAGAACAACTCCACTTAGATACAAATTACTCTGCATTTCATTTAAATAAGGGTCAGGGAGCTAAATGCCACACAAGCCACCACACTTCTGCTGTACAGCACATCCAGCAAAAGACCTCCTTTGTTTCCAGAATGGACCCAGGCTTTCTGGCCATGAGCTGCCAAGGCAGGGCTGCACAAGGCATCTTGCTCAAACCTCCCACCTCCACTCCCCAACCGCCTGTGCGTGGGCCCAGAGCCTCTCTGGCTTGGGAACAGCTCCTTGGTTTGGAGAGGTGAGCATTGGTTTACCAAACAGATTCAGAGGGCAAGAGATTTCTAATTTGTCTTTGTTCTAAAGTAATAGCATGCACAGTCTCTTGTGTAAGAAACAATTATATCCCCCAGTTCCCACTGCTTAAAATATGCCTCTTGTTCATCAGGCTGACAGTCGAAGCCAAGCAGCACGGCTTGTTGAGAATCTTCTCACTTATCCGGCTGGTGCCATCATGATCGTCTTAATATAAAAATCTGGTTTGGTATGTGTCTCTCACCATTTAAAACTGATGACTTCCCTTGGATATTTAAAAATTTTGTTTCAAATCCATGCCTCTTGGGCTGAAGCTGGTCGTGCGAGAGCAGGTCTGTAATAAACTGAAGAAAACTGACTGGCAGTTACGACTGGATTATTCACACATGCTAGTAGTCTTAATCTTTACTTGGAAGCCCAGAGCTGGCCCAGGGCTCACATCTGATATATGTTCCCTGGCCACAGGGAGAGGGGAGCTAAGGTGACATCCCATGGGGCCCTTTCCCAGTGGGTGGCTGCATGATCCCTCCAGAGGCCAGGAATATTCCCACATGCTCACACCAGCATTAGGTTTCCTCAAGCCTCACTCCTTGCTGCACTTCTTTCCATTCCTCTTAATTAGCGGGGGAGTAATTCCAGGCTATGCAAGTCATTCAGCATCTCCTCCCTCCTCCACGATCAGCTTCCCCAGTACAGTTCATGCCTGTAATAAGATGTCAGCCTCGAGCTCAGCTTGGCAAGCCTTTCATTCCCGCACTGCTCTTGCCTGCACATGGCTCCTACTCACTTCCTAAACTTCCAGCCCCCCATCCCATCAGCTCTAGGATGAACCTCCAGCTAGCTGTGCTCCCAGACACACAAGGCAGGCTGATCCTCTGGCTGCATGGCTGTCCAGGTGACCCCACAGCACTTCTTGAGAGCATTTCACTCCGAGCAATGGTGTGAGGCCGGTATAAGGCGCTTTAGCTGCAGGAGCCACTGCAACAGCAACACAGCTCAACCCTCCTCAGCCCTCCTCCTCACCTAGACAAAGGAGATGAAGCATTTAAGCCGGTGAGGATCTGCTCCTGCAGGCAGTTTCTTCCACTGCCAAAACCATTCACAAAATAAACAGGCAACAAACATTCAAATTCCACAAACACCTTCCTCTCTCTTGTGTACACTGTGTGTATATATACATACACATATGTACAATTTTTAAGAGCTGGTGAAAAGTGCCAAACTGACAGTTTGAAAGAAAAAGCACTTCCTGTTATTTACAAAGCTGGTACAATATAGGAAGCAGCAGAGCAAACTTCTCCCTCTTGCACTGTCATCTCCACAATCCAGAGGGAACACTCTTAAGCATAAAGTTAATGCATATTCATATTTTTCATCTTCCCTGCTAAGGACCTAAGAATTGAACTTTTTACAGGGAGCAGAGAACTGTTATGCAGTTCCCTAATTCGGTATTATTCTTACCATGTGAGGGTTGCAAATTTCATTTATATGAAAACCAAGACCCTGAATCAAAAAAATGTAACCCTCCCCAAAACTCAGCCACTTCTCACCAACCCAGTTCCAACACAATACAATGTTCTAACTGCATATTCCTCACCCACAATCTTAATCCCATGCTCTGTCTGCATGGTGTGGTCTGTGCCATTTTTACGTGCCTGTGGTAGTTCAAATTAATGCACATGGTTTTAGTTATTATTTACTTACAAAACATTTCATCAGAGGATGTGTCTGATTCAGGACTCAAAAAGCCAGGCCACTAAAGGAGGACAGCACTTAATGAAGCAGCGGGAAAATGTCATGCTTTAAAGGTGTCTTGCACGGAAATAGATTCCATGCTCTATCCTCAGTCCTCCCGAGGTCAAAAATAATAATTATGAGAAGGGAGCTGGAAGAAGGAGGATAGGAAATGGGGATTTTTTGAGCAGGGCAGCAGGAAAGCTCCATCAGTTTAGTCACCTGCTGGGCAGCCCTGTCCCTTGCCAGGCACTTTCTATTACTCCTGAGCAATTACATACTGATGAATGAGTCACAGAAGAAAAACACAACTGGACTTTGTTTACTGGGGTGCAAGCTCAGCTCTGCGATTTCTCAAGAGCTGCAGAGATGCAGAGCTGGCAGTTCTGCTCCACTAGCCAAGGTGTGAGGGACCGCAGGTGAAGGATCTGTGCTTTCCTGTGAAAGGCTGTGATTAATGGTAAGGGTTTTCTCCACCCCAAGTTCCTTCTACCTGATCTGCCCAGGCCCAGGAACCACAAGCAAAAACATCTGTAACTTATGGTTTAAGGTTTAATTTGTTGGCTGTGCTTCGGGCAAGCGGGGAGCACACATAAACCATGGTGTGCTGACAGCAGGGCCAGTGGCAGTGCCCAGTGGGCAGGCTGCTCTCCTGCTGGGAAGGGCTGAGAGCCACGACCTGCACTCAGTGGGTTTTTGCAAGAGCCTTAGACTGGCTGTGTGTGCCTGTGTCCGGCTGCCTGAGGAAGAGGAAGGAGAGCAATCAGAAAAGACAGCAGCAACAAAGAGCTGCCTCTGAGCCAGCCACACATGCAAACTCCCATGCCCATCCTGAGAGATCTTCAGCCTCTTCAAAAACCAAAGACTATTGCCAGATCCCCTCTTGGGGGTTGTGGATGAGTCCCTCAGCTCCAGAAAGCCTGCCTTGCCCACTCAGCCATATGGAGCCCTGGAGACAGTGTCCATGGGCTGCTAACGGAGATCCGGCTTGGGCTCCTGACAACAAAATGCCAGTTACAGCCGTGACCCCTTCACCAGTCCTGTCTGCTGAGGCTGTAGCTCTCCAGCAGGACTCTCTTACCTAGTGATCTGCTGCCACGGCAGAATTCATGTGCTATTGTAGGATAAACCAACTTGCCAAAAAAAAAACCAAGAAGAACAATACTTAGATAGCAAGTGCCCAAAGGTTAGGAGAGGCCAGAGGGTTTTTTCCATACAATCTTTTCTAAGTTTTTCTGGTGGGCAAGGCAGAGCCTTTAAATTCACGGGTAGGACCCCAGCTCCTGATGTGCACTGGTAACACTGGAGGTACACATCTGTGGCTGCCCTGGCACAGTGGCATCACTCGCACGTGGTCTTCTGGCACTTCTGGAAAAGTGTGCTGGGAATCTGTCAGGCTAGTGGGGACTGTGTTTGGGCAGCAGACTTTGCAGCCAGAGTCAAAACCCAAATCCACAGGTTTGGGTCAGCCCCTTGCTCCTGCCTCCTGTGTCAGTGCTGCTGTGCTCCATGGGCGACCATCTCAGCTGCCACTGAAGCCAGAAAGAGCCAGCTGTTTCCATTTCCCCTTGCATTCCTAGGCTGAAGCAGCACCATCCCCCAGTGCCTCACCTCCTGCAGCTTTGCCAGCTCATTCTGCTCGTTCTCAGCCTCCCTTGGGCACTCCTTGGTAAATAAATCCCCCTGCTTCTTTCCCTATCCCATAGGGCCAGGCAGTAGCACAAGGGCCATTCCAGCGGGCTAGAATAATTATCTCCTTTTGTGTTATTATTTGTGGAACAATTATGTTTATCATGGTGATGCTTAGGGCCAGACCTGTGTCCAGGATTGTGCTTTCTACTTCAGGCTTTGCCCAGAGACCCTCGGTCTTGGTTGGGGCACCCAGACCTGTGGCACTGCTCTCTGCCCTCTATGCAGTCACAATTTCATGGCTTTGCCTTCAGCAAAACAGTCCCAACTCCCAAGTGTGCATAGTAGCATGACTCAGAGCTGAAACTCCTCCAGTGAACATTTTGGGAACTTCCCAATCTGAGTGATACTGGGCTTTGGCTGGTGTCCCGCAGTCACACACCCCACCACACCTACCCACCTGGCACTGCCAAAATGTCACTGGCACTGCTCAGCACAGCACAGCAGTGCAGACTATTTAGGCAGGGAAAAGCCAGTTCAGATAGGTATATCAATCAAAGTAAGTCAGCTTGCCCTTCAGCTGCTTTAAACCTGCCACCCCCAGCCTTTGAATACCATTTTTGCTTCTGTGGCCACTTTGCACAGCCTGGTTTTGCCCAAAGATAGACCCAAAATCCTGCTCCCACTGCATTTCTGTGGGATCGGGGCCAGTCCCAGCAGACCCTTTAGGAGGTGTCTGCAGGCAAGAGAAGGTCAGAAGCTTTGGCTCGGCAGCTGCAGACACCCCTCACTGAGTCCCTCAAGCAGAGAACTGGTTACAGAAAACTTCATGTCCCCATTCAACAAACTTAATGCTTGCAAGATTTTGCACCACTAAGTCAAACAAGATAAATAAAAGCTGGCAAAAATAGCAATTGAGAGGGGACTGTCTGTATTTCACACATCACAGGGCACCTTTTGTGCAGGAAGGAAAGGGCTCGTGACGCCTCACTCACCACCATCCATCTCGCTGCAGATGGGCCGACGCTGTCTGTGAGACCTGCTTCCTCACAGAAATCAAGTGTGGCTCTGGCTCATGATGGTACAGACTCACCAGCAGCTCTGTTTCCTGCCCACCAAGCCTGCAGCAACCGAATAACCACAGGCTTGGGCTGCAGATGCTCTGGCACTAATGCCCCACTGCAGGAAGCAAAGCCTCCCTCCTTTTCCCCTTCCCCTTTCAGTGTGCCCCTGTGGGCAGCCTCCCATTCCTCCCTCATTTTATCTCCTGGAGAGGAGCTTGGATATCGGTTTCCTCCTGTTCCTTCCCTTGCCTGCTGCTCCCGTTAGCTTTTCTCTGAGAAGCCACCTACCAGTGTGCCCCTTACTGTGGCCATCAGGGAAGAGATGACGCTGTAGAAGTCAGAACATACTCCCATGTACCTTTTAACTTTGCAGATGAGCATTTTCATCTCACCTTGAAGGGAAAAACTCTGCCAAGTTCTCCAAAACAAGGAGGTCCGGCCTGCCTCAGAAAAAATCCTCTTCAGTCATGGAAGAGCAAAATCCCTCTCTTTGATGGATTTGTTCCCACTGAGGAGCTGATGGTGCTCATGGCAGAGCCTGCAGTACTGCAGGGCAGGCTGGCAGTGGCTGTGAGCTCCAGGGTTATGAGCCCCCTCAGGGCCATGGCCATGCAGGGAAGCTCAGCCTCATGTGATGGGCACCATGGAGGAATGGTCTGAGCTCCTGCAGGTTCCATAACTTAGTTCATGGGGGCTTTCTGAGCATATTGCTCCACTCGTTAGCAGACCTGTCCCAAAAAAGCACTGTAATATGTGTCCATGGCTGTGACTTGCACCCTCCTGCCTCTTCTGCAGGCTCTCCATCCTGGCTTACTACCCAGCTATAGTTTTCCCCACCAGCTCTCCATGGATAAAAGTGCAAACCGGAACACCCACATGAGAGTCAGGAAGGATGGGGATGATCAGTGCTGTCTCCCAGCTGGGATGAACACGCTCCATCGTGTCTCCAGGCCCGAGGGAGCCGGCAGCAGCAAGCACTCCTGGCCCATTGCCCCTGCAGCAGCAGCACTTCAGGCAATGCCAAGTGGATGGACTGAATCAGCATTGATTTGGAATGTAATTTCTTATGAATTCTGCCCTCCCATCTATCCCTTCCCTGCAGTTTCTCATGCTGCTTCAGGAACTCTTCCTCAGGCTATTTTTAGTACCTGGTTACATCACTGCCAGTTTCTGCTGCTTTCAAACAGGCACCGGCTGAGAACATCCAGGCATCAAGCCTTCGGGGCTGTAAGGATGGGAGCTTTATCACTCAGCCAGCAGACAACCAGGCTGCACTCGCCAGCTGCCGGATGGAGCCTGGTTTGGGAAAGCAAACACAGGGCATCTCAATGGTGCCTGACAGGGAGGAGGAGCACCCTGCTGCGAGAGCCCCCGCTTCCCCCTGGACTGGGGGATGCTTTCCGGCAACACTGCCATTGCCTGGCTGTGCAACAGCAAGCAAGTTAATTAATCCTCCATGCTTCTCCTCTTCCCAAAGAGAGGGTTTATGCTGACCTACTTCTTACAGAGAAATTTGAAAAGGGTTTCAATGTCCATGATGAGCAAGTGGCACCAAAAGTGCTAATTATGCTGGCTGTTCACAGAACCCAGAGCACTGTTGAGGCAAAACAAGAACATCACGGAGCAAGTAACAGAGAGAGCTCCTACTGCAGGGAAGTCAGTCTGGCAACTGGCTCATGCTTTCGGGCAAGAGCAATTCACGTGCTGACCAGCCATGTGGAAGGATGGCTCAGGTTGTGAGGTGGCACAAGCAGCCACGTGGCAAAGAGGAAGCTTCGCCTGGCACCTCTTTGCAAGGAGGGCACAGAGGTCCCTGCAAACCCTGAGGAGACAGCTGTGGGCAGCTAGCCTAGGGCAAGTGATACAGCCCTGGGGCAGCAAGGAAAGGCAGGGGATCTCCAGCAAGGCCTCAGCGTGCTGGAGAGGCTGCAAATGCTTGGCGTGCCTCCCCAGGCATGCTGACACTGTCCCTGTGCATACCAGCACCTCTGGGGCCCTGCAAGGGCTGCCTGAGCCACCGCAAGTTTTAACCTCTCTCCTCCCCACCTCTCCATCTCTGAGCCTCCCTCGTAGCCAGGGCTACAGAAACCTGTGCCAGAGCTATTAGCAGAAATGAGGAAATCAGGGAATCCAAGTTTGGCCAAGCACCCTTACCCAGAGGCATCCCCGTCTCCCCATAGCCATGCTCTGCCCTCCCCCTGCATCCCAGCTGGCCAAAATCCTTCTCCCAGAAGAATCTGACCAGAACAAGAGCTGGAGCTCTTAAGGAGGAAATTCTGAGTTAAATTCCTTTCTCCCAAGTCATTTGCAGAAGGGAACAACATGTTCTCCCAGCACAGAGATGACGTCTTGCTGGCCTCCTGCTGCTCTCCAGCTGCCTGTCACCATGGGGCCAGGGCTTTCCCTGTGAGGCAGCAGGAGGGTTTGGCCGATGGAGAAGGACTGGAGGGTGTATTATGGTGCCTCTGCTCCAGGAAGGGCTAGCAGGGGGTGCATTTTGGGTGGCATGGGATGAACACCTCACCAGAAAAGGCCTGCATCCCCCAAAGAGGAGAGGATAGAGAAGAGAGGATACATCAGAGAACTGCAAAGATCCTCTCCATCCTGGCCCTGCACAGGATAACTCCGGAAAACCACACTGTGTGCCTGAGAGCATTGTCCACTTTGTGAATTCTGGCAGCCTTGGTGCTGTGACCATTTCCTTGGGGAGCCTGTTTCAGTGCCCAACCACCCTTTGGGTGAAGAACCTTTTCCGAATATCCAGCCTAAATCTCCCCTGACACAGTTCCATGCCATTCCATTGGGTCCTGTCACTGATCACCAGAGAGAAGAGATCAGTGCCTGCCCCTCTGCTTTCCCTCCTGAGGAAGCTGCAGACAGGGATGAAGTCCCCCATTAGTCTCCTTTTCAGTTCTCAGCGAGGGCTCAACAATCAGGATTAAGCAGAACTGAAGCCTCATCTGGCGCAAACAGCTGCAGCCATGTGAAGGCTGCAAGCCCCATCCTAACACACCCACAATTCCTCAGCAGGAATACTGAAACAGTTAAACCAGCCCAAGGAAGCTGTTAGTTTTGCATTTACATTGAGCTGCTTAAAAAGTAAACACGGCGTAAGGGCGTGCAAGCTTGCCAGCAGCTGTCACTGACCTCAAAATCAAAGATGTTGTGGCTGATCCAAAGTAGGGCAGGCTTCGCAAGCTGAGCGAGCACAGCAGCTGTGCCAGAGATGAGAGGAACGTGAGCTCTGTCTGGCATGGAGCAGGGCTGCTGCCCCCTCCCTAGGCCAATCCATCAGCCGGATTGAAGCCAGATTCAGAGCCGATGAAGTTCTCTGAAAAACATATTCCTGATGTTTTTCTCTCTCTCCCTCATCTCATGCCACCCTGATCTGGGCAATCTGTGTAGGGATTATTAAATCAAACTGTAACTGGGCCAAGGTTAATGAAAGAGCCTGCAAAATCCTCCTGGTTTTGGTTCCCTCATTGCAAGTGGCTTGGCGCCATGCCGGTGGGGAGGCACAAGGCCTGTGGCGTGTGCACGTGCCGGGAGCCACAGGGAGCCAACCAGGGCTGGCCCTGGGTTTCCTGTCCTCACAAAGTTGACAGGAGGCTCACTTCATCCTTGCTTGTGAAGCCCACAGCACACCTCTGCTGACAACTGGCAGGGATTGTTGTCATCTGTTATCACCATCACCCCACAGGGACACACTTCGTGTGCCTCAGCAAGGGCTGCAGCCCCCTCTGAGCAGCTCCAAGGTGGGAGCTACTTGCCTCAGCCCAGGCTTTCAGGGCAGAGCTTGTACCACCCTGCCATGGACAGTGCCACACAGGAAAGCCACAGCTGATCAACACTGCAGGCAGAGCACCCATGTGATGTGTGGACATCCATCCAGGAGAGTTTTCCTTACTCACCTGAAGAGTCCCAAATCCTCCATCTCTACTTGAGCCACATCACTCCTGTGGGCTGCCCTGGGGAAGATGGGAAACATGCTCAAGCTCTTCCTCTCCTTTATTTTAGGTGAACAGAGAAGTTGCTTAAAGTGTGGGTTTGTGGTTCTTTCATTTTCCTGCCTTTCTCATCATGGAGGGCTTTGGAAATGGCAAAGCAGGGACATCACAGCATGATCTCGCACATCCCCGCCCTGACGGACTCCTTATCAATGGAGCAGTTTCCAGCATCTCAGCCTTGATGTTAAAACCAGTAAGTCTCTGGCCATCAACGCAAAGCAAAACTAGAAACCATGGCACAGCAGTCATCAGGGCAATAAGGTTTCCTGCTTCCACCAGCTTGAGGCTGCCCGGATCCTGCTGCCTAAATCTGCCAGGAAACCCAGGCTCTCCGGTCCCAGCCGCTTCCCTAGGGTTCTCACCAGGGTGCTTCCCTTCCAGTGCCAGCTCCTTAATAAATACTGGTTGTTCCCATCACATTTCTCTCACACTGGCTAGTGACGCCAGCCCTGCTGGCAACTGATCAATTCCCTATTCACTGAGTCATGCAAATTCATCAAAAATCACCCCAGATCCATGGAGATGGGATCCTCAGTGTGTCGTAAGAGGTTCAAGGCACAGCTGCAGTGGTGGCCTGTGGCCTGGAGATGCAGCCCCATGCTTGGTATGAGCCATCTGCCCTCATCCTGCATGGCAGGGCCATGAGGAGCTGCTGCAGAGCCCATACCCCATCTTTTGTCTCTTCAACATCCACCCTTCAATAAGGCACAATTATCTGTTTACTTAAGAACAAGGGTAATTAACCACCCAAATGGTGACCGAGGAATGCGAGAGTCACAATAGTCCCTATTATGGAGCAGACCCACTAAATGGAGATCATTGTTCTTCCTGGCCTTAAA